CAGCGAGCGTGCGCGCGCGGACGGGGGCGCGCGCCCCCTCGGCGTCCCAGCCTTCTGGGGGAGGGCGCGCATGCGCCGGCCGCGGCCTCCTCCCGCGACCCTGGCATGTGCACAGGCTCCTCCCCCGTCCCCTTCCTCTGGGCGGGTGGGCAGCGGAGCTGCAGCATCCACGGGCCACGGCGGGGACCCGAGTTCCAGCCGGGCAGCGGGCGCGCGCGGGCCTCGGGCTCCGGTCCACGCCGGCGTTAGGCAGCCTGAGGGCCCGAGGCTGAAGGGGAACCGCAGTAGTCCCCGTGCCCCGGCGGCCGGGCCCAGCGCCCTGGGGCTCGGGCGGGCGCCGCGCTACTTTCGGGATGCTCTCGCGGCTCATCCGTTGCAGCGCGAGCACACAATGGCACCGCGGTGCACCGCGCGGTCCTGCTACCCTGCGGGCTCTGCCTCCGCTCCCGCACGAAGACCCCCTGCAGGGCCCGAGTTCGAAGCTCGGCCTCCCCGGGCCGCGGTTGCCACAGCCCTGCAGAGGCGGAAGTTTATTGAGTACGGGAGAAGGGAGGGAGAGGCTTTTCCCTAGGATGCCTCCTACCGGCTCGCACTCTGGGATCCTGGCGCCCGCGATGCTGAGCCGTGGGCCGAAGGACTACCTCAAACCGGCCCAGAGGGCGAGTGGAGCGGGAGGACCCAGCCGCGCCGCCCCGGCACAAAGTAGTCGCGGGCCGAAGGGGGTGCCGCCGTGGCCAATCAGAGCCGGGAGCCCAGTGAGTGGAGTGCGAACTGGCCAATCAGAAGGCCGGAAGATGAGCTTCCCGTGCCGAACTCTTCCCTGTAGCCTGGGGACCCAGATCCCAAGCGTGAGGGTGCAGCCGGGTGGCTGGGTGGAAAAGCTACCCTCAAGACAGTTATTCCTCTCGGCGCGGGTGTATTTAAGTAATATACTGTGATGCTTATCTCTTAGTAAACAGCTCTGGCCTTTTAGATGCTAAGTATCAAAGGACTCACAGAGAAGACATTAAAAGGGCCGAAGCCTGCTAAGAATGCAGTCTGCCTAATAGCGCTCATAAATTGCCAAAATTTATTCTAGAACAGGAACTGTGTTTCTGAAATGCAAACAGGACACTGCTTTCAATAAAGAAAGAAAAAATCCCGTGCCTTCAGCAACTCCGCATCCAAGAGCAGCTTTTCCAGACCTGTGACTGGGTTAATGTCAGCCCTGGAAATAAAGTACTCTGAAGTGTCCTATAGAAAACACACTAGTTTATCGAATGTCACGCAAAACTACTCAGGCAGGGGTCAGAATTATGTTCTAGCCGAAGAGTTTGGGTGTCCTCATTCAACAAATCGGTAGTCATTTATTAAATGCATGGATGCTAGCCATCTTCCTTAAAACTTGCAGTTAGGCTGTATGAGTCACTTTCTTTGGTTGGTGCAAACAGACAATTTTAGGCTAGTACCATACTTAGATGTATTAAAGGATAAAGTTTCATCAGTCGATAATCTGAATTATTTCCCCTTTTGCGTGAATATGTGTATGCCAAGGATGTGTTTTCCCGTGGACTATACCCACAGCCTCGAACATTTTTAGGAGTCCGTGGTAGAATATTTTCTTTGGGATGTAAACACATCCCAGATGTTTTCAAGGGAAAAGAAAAGGAACCATTTCTAGCTAACACACATTTTATGGTTTGCAGTCCTTGAAGATCTCCATGTTGAAAGCTTTATGTTTGCCTCAGACCTTCTGGTCCTTTAATCTGGCCTTTAATTTTAAATATTAAATTTCTAGGAATCAAAACATTTATCTTCCCCACCCACTTCCTATCCAAATAATAAGAGTAGAAATATTTGTCAGGAGCTTAGCACGCTTTTGTAGGATAGCATACTATATATGAAAGTGCCAAGCTGATGGCTCTGGGATACAGGCAGAAAGGAGTTCGTCAGCAGTTCTGATCTGGGCTCCGTGTGACAGGATACTGTTATGGAAGCTCTCCCTAGGACATGCCCAGGGTGTAGCTACCATCACAGAACTGGGAGTATCAGCTACCCAATGGGTAGGAACAAGCCTTTACACACTCAGTTCCAGGCCAGTAAAGAATTTCTGGAAAATTCACTTCAAACAGAACTACTTACTGGCCTCCTTCAATGCAAACAACAGTCTCAGCCTTTTAAAAACTGCAATCCTAAACCAATCGTGGTTGTATATGCCTCTAATCTCAGCACAGAGGAGGGAAGTCTGAGGCAAGAAAACTGTTGTGAGTTAGAGTCTAGCCTGGACTATCTAGTGAGTTCAGTGCCATCCTTGGATGGAGAGCCAAACCCTGTCTCAAATAATAGTAGTGATTAATTGATTCAAAAATAAAAAGGGGGAGGGAAGCTCAGTTTTAGGGAGTCCTTGTCTAACATACTACAAGTCCTAATCCAACCTCCAATACTATAAAGGAAAAAAAAATGTATTATTACATTTCCTCTATTCTCTGCGAAGGGCCCCCTGAAACTCAGATCTTTGCCTTGCCATGTAAAGTTTCTGAGAGCGTGTCCCTGCGCAATCCTCTCCATCACTCACAGAAAGCGTCCCTTTTGCGAGCGTTTTCTGTAGGGCCTCCCACTCTGTGGCTGAAACTCCTCACTCTCTTTTCTCACTCCAGATGCTCACTTGTGACTCCACTCCCCGGTTCCTGATTTGCATTAGCCACCTCATCCTCCCCTGCTCCCTCACCAAATGCAGTGATGGGCCTGTCTTTGCTTACCCTCAAAATCACAGACGGGTTCTACCCAAGAAAAGCGTTGTCCGAACTTTCTCCCTAACCCTGCCAGCTCTCCGTTGTCCTGTGGTTCAGCCTGGATCAGTGCTTAGTCATCAGCTAGAACTGTGGAGACTTGAATGTGAGGTGAGAAGGAGTCAACCCTTAGATAATGGAAAATATCAAAATGAAAGTGAAGTACCTGAGTGGCCATTGTACTAAGAGATTAGCTAGATCAAAGTTAATGAACTTGAATGCTATCACATTCCCTAAGTTGTGAACATTCATGTAGAAACTTGTTTGAAATTTACTACCATTTTATTATGCCTATAATAAAAATAATAGTGAGGGTGTAACATTGCTGAGAACAAGGCCCCACGCTAAACTCTCTTTTTCCATCATTTAATTCTCAAATCAAACCTTTGAGGTGGAGCCTATGACTAGACTGGGGGAATCAATATGGTCTCAGGGGTACATGAGGCTCTCAGGAGACTCAGTAACAGATGCTTAGGAAGTAATTTATGTTTTTCCATCTCTACCGATGAATACCAAGTGATGTCGCTCTGAAAACATTGCCTTTTTTTCTTTTAAAGATTTATTTGTTTTTATGTGCATCGGGTTTTTTTTGCCTGCATGTATATCTGTGCAAGAGTGCCAGATCCCCTGGAACTGGAGTTAGAGACAGTTGTGAGCAGCTGGGAATTGAACCCGGGTCCTCTGGAGGAGCAGCTGGTGCTCTTAACTGCTGAGCCATCTCTTCAGCCCCTGAAAACATTTTTAATAACTTTTCATTTTCTCTGTTTTACAGTGGCTGCCATACACCATTTCACCTCTTTAGTATTCTATTTTGCAGGCAATCATACAAAGGACGATTCTGTTGCTACTGTAGACAAGAAGATGGGACCTGGAATAATGAAAGCCACTTTTGAGCAAAGTCCTCATTCAAAAGCTAGAGCTAATCCTTCCCACCAGGAGAGTAAAGGAAGTGACTGGTTTAAAGGCTGATGAAGCGAAGCCGACTTTCCCACTGACTTGCCTCCCAGTTGAAATCCCTGTCTCCACTAAGTGTAAGCCTCAAATACTTCATACTGCTGACTTGTTTGCTACTCACTCCAGCATCCTCCTTCTTAATAAGAGTTTCTTGTTTTGTTTTAATTTGCTAGCTTTTTTAGGCAACCACTAAAGAAGGAACTCAACCTGGGTCTGCTGTTCCCAGAATGGTAGAGAACTTCAGAATTTACCCTTCCCTTGCAGACATCAGAAAGGTTCCACCTGCCCTCAGCATTGGGTTTGCAGTCAGGCCAAGCCATGAGACAAGTGGTAGCCTCTCTATGATTGCTTGTCAACAGGAGTGATATCAATTCCAGGTACAGTATAAGTCCTTACAGTATTTACTACTACTTAGCCTCAGGATCTGCATCTGTGGCTTTTTACATTATGATGATGATGATGATGATGATGATGATGATGATTACATTTACATGTGGGTGGGGGCTCGAGCACACGCATGTGCGCATGTGTGAGCACAGGTCACAGCAGCACTCCGGTGGGTGGAAGATCAGTTCTTTCCTCTTTCCTTTTACCAGATCAGTCCCTGGGATCACACTCAGGTCATCGGGCTGGGTGACAAGTGCCTTTGCCCGCTGAGCCATGGGCTCACTGGTCCAGTGTTGGTTTTCCTTGCAGGTGCTTCCCACAAACCTTACTTCGAAACAAGGTTTTGGGAAGTTTCCCATGTCAGCTTTGTCCAGCAGTCGGGAGGCATACACCACCACATGCAGTGAGACTACTGTTGTTAAAGATGGTAACGCCTTTGAGTCCAGGCTCCCAAACAAGGACCCCATGAGGCAACCCATCCGCCGCCTCCTTCGCATAGTTTGAGCAAGTGCTCTAAAAGCCACTGAGATTTGGCTGTATTTTTTTTTACTGCAGTGTGACCTAGAATCTAAGTTATATTAGGTTGATTTGTGCTAGAATCAGATTCTAATTAATCCCCTTACGATTATTATACTCCTGGAATAAACCAGCCCCCCCCCCCCCCCCCCCCCCCCCCCGGTCAGGCCAAAAGGAAGACTTTGAATCCATGCTTGGGAGAGAGGATTCTGTTCTCTCCCCTAGGCATGAATACATCAGCCTGAAAACCAGAGTGCAGCAGACAGCAGTGGTACCAAGACAAGCTGCTCTTAAAAAGGCCACACTAAAGACAACAGTGAGACAGGAACACCCAAAGATGTGATTGAGCTGATGATCTTACCGCTTGGGAAGGCTCCTCCTTCTGAACTTTTAATTCTGCAAAATATGGGCCCCCCTATAATGCTGTAGGTAGAAACTTCCTTTTGTATATGTTTAATTCCATCACGGTTTTCAACAAAGGACTGCTAGTTCAAGAAGGACTCAAAAATATAGGATGCATTAAAAATATTTTAAAACATTAACTTTCATTACTGCCTTCTGAAATATCTCTGTTGATATATGGGAGAAGTAATTTAATTTAATCCATTCTTTTTTAGATGAAGAGATTAAGGTAAGATTACAAGTTTTATCTAACTCATCTAGCTCCATTATGGCAGACATGAGGGCTGAAAAAAAAGACCAACTAATAACTTATGTTAAAAAAATTGAACTGTCAGCAAGGTGGTGGTGGCTCACGCCTTTAATCCCAGCACTTGGGAGGCAGAGGCAGGTAGATCTCTATGAGTTTGAGGCCAGCCTGGTTTACAGAATGAGTCCCATGGACAGCCAGGGCTATCTGTTGCACGGAGAAACTCTGGTTAGAAAAAAAAAATTGGGCTGTCTAGACCAATGGTGCTCCCACCTAACAAAAATCCCAATACCAGACATAAGAAGCCCTCTTTTGATTTGTTGGTCAGGGCTGTCCAAGAGACTCCCAAAGCATACAATCTATTGCTATTGTCCTTGGTTGCCTTGGGGAAGAGTTGGAAGGTAAGCTCCTATTGCTGGAAACACCATGCACTTCAGAAACAGGGCCCAGAGGCCCCTGAGCTTGAGCTGACCTGAATGTCCCTTCCCTGGGCCTTCCCTGAGGACTAGCTTTCATGGTACTAGAAGGCATGCAAGCTTCCAAATGAGGGAGGTAAGTACAACCTACTCAACTATGAAGCCTGTGAACCACATTGATGACCAACATGGAACAAAAGGGTGCAGTACTTGGTGGTAACCAACAGCTCTCTAATTGGACTTACTACCCACTCAACAAGAGGGAAAACATTCATGGTAATGGAAACCTAGCCAACTACCCAGGGCCAATGAAGTCATGGTTATTGGAGGAGAATCTATAACCACTAATTTACTAAGCTAGCACAATCCCTAGCAATGACCTATAAATATCGGTCCTTGTATCCCCAGGAAATGTAGTCATCACCCCTCACCAAGGAAACCTCTCTTTGCAACAGATGGAGACCACTACAGAATACCATGGACAGTCAATATACATAGTTATGGAACCCAGTCCCAATGCATGTATCAATAAAACACTCCCCTATCTAAGGCTCAGGGAGCATTGTGGAAGAGGGGATGGAAAAACCTTAAGAGCCAAAGGATCAGGGAGTTTGCTGTGAGCCTGAGTCTCCTGGTAACATCAAAAACTACACCAAATGAGAGCTGAGCAAGGATGACACCAAATGGTCATGCCAAAGTGAACAGGGGAAAAGCCCATGAGGCTTCCACCCTCCACGGGAGAGGGGGTCTTCCCAAGAGAAGAGCACACCAGTTGGTTATCCAGTGCCAAATGGTCAGTCCCAAAAACATACATGCAAATAACATCATACAAACTCAATGGGGTATAGTTAGGAATATATATATGACAGTGGAAAAAAGGAGCCATGAATTTGAAGGACAGTGGGGAGGAAGACTTGGGAGGGTTTGAAAGAAGAAAAAGATTTTAAGTGGAAAAAGGAATTAGAGTATTGCTCAGAGTCCTTCCTAGCATGTGCAAGGGACTGGGTTCAATCGCCAGCAGCACTAAGGAGGCTTAGTCAAGAAGATCACATGCTCAAGGCCACCCTCAGACCCATAGTGAGTTTGACCTGTATAGAGGACCCTGTGTGTGGCACACACACACACACACACACACACACACACACACACACACACACACCACAATAATAGTAATAAAACTAAGAAAAATCACCATAGTTTCTAATTCAAGACAGAGAACTGGATTGAGGCAGTATATTATCCTGGTAGTTGAAAACTTGGGCTGGGGAGATGACTTATTTGGTGAACTGCTGCCCATGGAAGCATGAGGACCTGAATTCAGCTCCCCAGCACCCACGGTGGCATGCACTTGTAATCCCAGCACTAAGGGAGCCCAAGACTAGAAGACTCCTAGCACTTCGTAGCTGAGAATAGTGAGGTCAAGATTCATTGAGAGGCCTTGCCCCGGCAAACAAAGTGGAAAGCAACTGAAGAAGACACCCAATGTTGACTCCTAACTTGCACACACACACACACACACACACACACACACACACACACACACACGTGCGCACAGCTGGTCTTAAATCAAGTATAGATTGAGCTGGAGAGATGACTTAGTGGAGAAGAGACTTTGTTGTGCAAGTAAGTATGAGTTCTATCCCAAGACAGGTTGGGTGGCCCGTCAGCCTAGATGAAACACCAAACCAGATTCAGTGAGAGACCTTCTCTTATGGGATAAGACAGAAAGGGATGGAGGAAGACACCCACCATCTTCCTCTGGCTTCTGCATGAATGTGCATGGGCACGCGCATATGCATTTATCATACCACCATACACACACATAAAACCCAAGTATAGTTTATTTAATTATATATATGACCTTAGATAGATTATCTAATCCTAAATTCAGATTTTTCTCTCTGTAAAGGGGATAATAATAGTTTACAGAGCTATAAATGAGTCAATGACTCAATATATTAAAAAGCACAGAGCATAATGCCTAACACACAGTAAATATTATATGCATTTATATAGCCTTGTTAAACAGCGGTTATCTGCAACTACTTTTGTTCACATCCTTACTAAAAATTTAACTTGGACCACCAACCTGCATTTGTTGTTGTTGCTGTTGTTGTTGTTTTTCAAGACAGGGTTTCTCTGTGTAGCTTTGTGCCTTTCCTGAAACTCACTTTGTAGCTCAGGTTGGCCTCCAACTCACAGAGATCTGCCTGGTTCTGCCTCCCCAAGTGCTGGGTTTAAAGGCGTGTGCCGCCACCAACCGACCTGTATTTTTACATCACATATGTAGACACTTCTCAATTGTTTGTGGTATGTGGTCAACATGCACCTTCCCTATGAGGAAACAATATATTGTTTCCATATTTCCATCCTGATGGCAACAGGGATAACATCCAAGGTACTGCCGACCGCCCCTTGGCCACCGTTCCCTGGGCAAGAGGTAAACCTGTCCAAAGAGACCCAGGAGTTTTGAATTTGGAAGACTGTTCCCAGCCTCACTAGATATCACATCTGAGAGATGTTACTGGGTGTAGTTTTTTACCAAGTGAAGAAAACTGTTCTGTATCGAGAGAATAAAGTCAGTGGAAAGAGGGAAGTAGAGAAGATGGCTAACTTGTGAGTTTTTGTACTCAAATCCTCATTTACAGGTTTTCCTGACCAGTAGCTAAACTTTCGCCTTCTGTGTATATTTGTCTCTTCCTAGTGTTTCTTTGCCCCCTTCCAGTATGTCCTCCATTTTGCCTAATATGTTTCCACATGGGTTTACTTTAGGTGCAACTAATGTAACTCTATTACCATAAAGTGAAATAAAATAAAACAGGAAAAATCCTTAGGTTAATTATGTTCCTTGGTGACCCAGATGTCACTATCCAAGAATACCACCAGTGAATTTTTATCAAATGTGAAACATGGAAGGCACCTGTAGCAGAGACTTCAAATTATCTCTGTGCATTTATTATCTCATGTCACAAGCCCGCATTTCTACATGGTCCTGTTAAAACTCAAGGAGAATCTTACTTTTCCCGGTCTCCTTTGCAGTGAAAGTGGCCATCTAATAAAATTCTGGCTATTGAAATCTAGCCAGTTACCATGCATGTAACTTACAGTTTTAAAATTCCCGAAAAAGACAGAGAGAGACCATGCGGTCCCTTTTCTCCATCCTATTAGCTGGGTCAAGACGTGGAACCTTTTCAGGCACTTGGCATCCTCTAGGGGAGAGAGTTGCTGCCTGTGGCTGGAGTGACAGTGAGTTGAGGAGTGGGGTCCCTGACAACTTTGTGGGATCTCCATGCCAATCCTGGAGTGCTCAGCCCAATATTATTTCATGTGAAAAAGAAATAAATGTGAATTTCCCTAAGCCCCTATCATCCAGGTTTTTCTGTTACACTACGCCGAACCTAATCTTGATACAATAGATGCATTGTTGTTGTGATTTAATAAACTATATTAAGCTAGATCATTAGTGTAGTGGGTAGCCATTCCAGCTTGGATCTGGAAGTTCCAACCCCCATTGAGACTCTGGCAACTGTCACGCCTACGAGGCGGGGCCAGGGGAGGCGCCTGGAGACCCAAGATCTGGATGGGCGAGTGCTCTCTCTGTTCCGGGACCCTGAACGGTGGAGGTGGACCAAGCAGAGCTCCAGAGAACACCGCTGGACTGCGATACACCTTCCCCAGACCCTGCAACCTACCTTTCCCTTTTTGTAAGTTACCCACTAAATAAATCTTCCTTTTAACTAAGTGGAATGGCCTTAATAATTTCACCAATATCTGGCGCCCAACGTGGGGCTCGAACTCATGCCCCTGAGATTAAGAGTCTCATGCTCTACCGACTGAGCTAGCCAGGCTCAGATATTTAAGGATTAAAAAACCAAAAATAAGGACACAGACTGAGAAGGATGTAATAGGTTCAAGGTCAAGTGAAAATTCCAGCCAAAATTAATAATTGACCATAATACTTGCTCCAACAAGAATGAGCCTCTCTGGCGTCACCAATATTTGCCCAGCTTTACGTTGTATGAATTCTCCAGCCCGAGGCAATAAAGCCAGCTGGAGAAGGATAGTGGGAGAGAAAGTAAATCGCATTCCATATAACAAATACACATATGAAAATACCATAATGAAACCTAACACTTTATGTGTAAAAAATTTTGACTTTTGAAAAATAAAACAAAGAAATTAAGTAAGTTTCTATTTGAAAACAGAAGCCATTTAAGTTCATCTAAGGGAATATTAGATTATAAAGAAAAAGACTAACTCTAACCAAACTGATAGAAGACTAAAAAACCAGAAGCCCTACCCCCGGCCCCATCTGCTTATCTTGATCAACACTACATAGCATATTTATTGAATGAGTTAATTTTCATTGCAGTATAGCTTCCAGCAGAAGCAAGAACATAACCTCTGGTTAGTCAGGATCTTGTATGGTTTCCATGGAAACAAGCCCATATAAAGTCATAATTCAGAATGTAGATTC